TGTGCAATTGCGGTTGCTGCTGTGACTGTCACAATTTGATGCGGTTTCGTAAACTAATGTCGACAAAAATCCGAATCCGGTAAAATACAGGAAAATCATGCAACGTGTGTAAGATCCTTCTTAGTTACCAACTTATTTTTAGACATAATGACACCAAAAGGTAGGTATATCAAAGGTTTTTCTCAGAAGTTGTCTCATCAATATGATCAATACGTAGGTATCTGATAAAATTACTATATGTAGTTCTTTGATTGTTTCATTCGTCACAAAAAGATCTAATTTCTATAACACCATGCGATGGATTTTGATATAGGTAAAGTTAATATATTCTATTTAAAAAATACACGTAATGCTAAGGTAAGTTTTTTGATGTTTTGTACACAAGGAAGTATTTCTATATAAATATTTAACAAACAGAGCCTGATTGCATAGTGCATTTAACACCTCACTCACTATTCAAAGCCGTGTTTCAAAAGCAAATATTTTTTCTCATTCAGCCTAAAAGCGGCAAAACCAAACATTTCACTGTCTTTTTGTGAAAAGCTACTCAAATAACCCTGAAAGGGTGGCGTGAAATGTTACAACGAAATTTAGTAGTTTAAACTGGATTACATGTAATTATTAGAAGTAAGGGTTAAGCGTTAAAATAAACGTCTATGAAATAAAGAGTCGACAAACTAGGGAGATGGCGTGCGGGCGTCGTTACAGATGGCTCACTCAGTACTAACGATGACTTTGACGCTTACTGACTCTAGATCTTCGCTTGAAGACGACCATCAAGATATTTAAATTTGGAAAACGCTGCCCGGTTTCGAGTCGATACATGACTTTTTTTCAATTTCTTATTTTCATTCATGAGAATATCCCTTTACATTGGAAAATAAACGCGGTGGTGTTAGGTAAATTCTCTAGCGGGTTTTTAACAAAACAACTGAACTAAACTACCAACTTTCAGTCCTCATTCATGTGTTGTTATAAAGTATAAGCTGCTTAGAAACTGCCCAGCACAACCACAATGCTTGCTCGTAATAGTGTAACTCGGTCTTTAAAAGTACAGTACGCGCGCTAGTTCATTACCATCCTGAAGTATGCGCCTCTTTGTCGCACACGCCGAAATACTGGCAAGTATCGATAGATAAGGATGCGCATACTTCAGGTTGGCAATGAACTAGCGCGCGTACTATAATGTAAATACTGTCATTTCCGTAGGAGTTACTAGTTATTATTCTGTGCCGTAGGTCTTGAGCATGAGTCAATCTTATGATATTTCTTAAACTTACTACCTATATCGACTGCTTCTACATCCCTTTCGATGGGAATGGGTATAGACGCGGTAGTAGTATGTAGGTAATTCTTTAGGCGAGCGTTTAACAAAACTACTAGACTAAACTGCCACCTTTCAGTGTAAAGGGATATAGGCATGATAAATGTTATTTAAAGTATATAAGCTGCTTAGAAACTGACCAAGCGAGCTAAAATGCTAGCTCGTACAGTGTAACCCGGTCTTAAAAAGTAGATACTGTTGTTCCAGTAGCTCTTGTGCATGAGTCAGTCAATCGGGCGTTTGAGCCAACAAATTACTAGCTATCTGTTATTGTACACTCTGCATACATACGCTAATAGCCCCTAGTTCTAGTTTGCTTAGTTCAACATAGGGTAAACAGGAGCGCAACTGTACACAAACATTAGAGTATAAATAAGCAAGCTATAGAGTGCGCATATCGGCCCGCGCCGTACTGTCAAAGCGTAAGCAGTTACTCCCTAGATACAGAAGTCAAATATAAGAGAAGTCATAGATGTTCAATAGTGCTCGTTGAACGACTCGGTGTCCCACACGAAAAAGAAAGAATAGTGCTGTCACTGGCGTTTTGCTACTGATAGACAGAGAGGTTGTGTTCTGAGAACTGTCAACAGTTCTAACATTTTAGGCGCTCTCTATAGCTTGATTAATATACTCTAAGACACAAACATTATGTAGTGCAAATAGGGTGAGCTGGATAGTGATTGTTCTGTACAGGATTAGTTCAAATGAGCAACTTGTAGATTAGATTATGGGTGGTAAGAACGAAGGGCACAGGTAGATACACACCTGTATTAGATAACAAATATCAAAATATGAAAAATGGTCAGGCAAAGAAATATAGATACAAAAAATGTTTAATGGATATCAGACTTTGTTTGATTTCACGGCTAATTTAATTTAGTTGAATAAAAAAAACGTAAACATGAAAATCATGCATCGCGCAAAAACAACAAAACCGTTATTGAAAAGCTCCCTCAAAAAGACACAAACTATATTTCAAAGAGAGTTATGTGTTTAAAATTGTAAAGAGGGCAACCACCAGCCCGTTTACCCTACCCCTGGGGAGCTACTAAGGCAACGTGACGGGGTATCGATCTGAATTTATATGCAGTTGTTGAGTAGGCATAATGCGGAGTTTCGTCGTATAAAAAGCTGAACTTTTACATTACATTACAACTCTACTAGAGTGTCCTTAATGGTCTTTTCAACACGAGAAATGGGGCATAGGAAGTGAAAATGAAAAATATACGACATGAATAGTACTACACAAGCAACAGCTGTTCTTAAAAAGACACTGATCAAAGTGATCAAAGTGAAAATAAAAACAACGCAACATTCACTAAAGGAGAAAAAGCTCAAGCCGTAAAACATCATAAAAATGGACACGGAAATTGATAAAATACCACCCATAATTAGCACACAAAATCCGGTATCACATAACTAATATTACACTAACATTTCTTTCCCTCAGGCGAGTTCGTGGACGACATACCGAAAATAAACTATTTTGGCGCACTGTAACGTAACTAGAGGACGTCAAACACTGTTACAACCGACTTGGTAAACACTTCACAAATCGCACTGTTATAGAGATTACGGGGCGAGTGATTAGGCTGTAATCGTTCCATTTTGAGTGTGATAAGGTGCGTTCAGACGTGATTGTGAGCGTAGTGTTGGCGACACTAGTGCGACGATCTATTTCCGGCGCAAGGTCGCGCCGAAGGGCCGCGCGAGTCGACGCTTGACCACTCGCGTCTAGCCCACCATCTGCTAATACTAATACTAAGACGGTTTTAGAACCACAAAGTAAGTAGATATTCGCTGGCGCCAATCCAGAGAGTCGGCTTCAAGGAAAAGTCGCTATACTCCCACAAACACGCACACATCGTCGTTTACGTGCAATCTCGAACCGGTTCGAACCAGCTAGTAGCGAGTGTCAACAGCGTTCGGTGCGGGCGGACGGCAAAATTACGACTCGCAAGTGCCTATATTTAATATAGCATGTAATTTACGTTTGATAATATAATGTAATAACGTAACCAAGTATGTTGACCCACGTACTGTAAAATAATAAATTCACTAAAAAAGAGTAGCAACCTCAGAGTGGAGGCATAAAAATGATCGGAAGAAGGGGCGATCTGTCCTTCTGTAAATTCTCTATTTTTGTGTTAGAACACCGAACATTGCGCTTTCAGCGGCGTCAGATATTACATGTCCGATTTGTTGATATAATAGTGCAAGACATGACGCGTGTAACGTTTAGGCACGGAAATAGAACAATAAAACATTATTGGCAGTCTTAACAATGCTAACTGACTTGCATTCGAATGTTTGAGAACACTAAAGAATTCACATAAATCTACGTTTTAAAAAAACTTCAAAACAAACTGGTGTTAATGGAAACAAATACCTACGTTTATTTATCACAAAACTAGCGAAATTATATTTTAAACAAACGTTAATGGAAATACGTAACTTCTCGATAAAGGAACAACTTTATTATATAAGTGGATTGGGGACTTAAGCTAATTTAGGATTTGGGAAGTTGGTGTGTAGACGACAAAATACCTATAATTCCTTTACCACTATTTATTGAAATTACTAGTCTTTTTGAAATAGGTATGAAAGTAAAAATACACAAAAATCTTACCCATTTTTATTCTTGTCTTATTTACATGTTATGTGACCTATTTGTTTTAAATTACTGTAATAAAAAGTTCGTGCATCATATGAAACTCTTATCTTCGTATCAGGTTTATCTTTACCTACTTCAATCGATACTTGTATTTATAATTTACGTCAAAACAATGCGGTATGCGTCAAACTTATAGATAAAATAAATTATCTATCAACCAATTCCTATAAATACGTACCTCTGCAATGTGTTGAATCACACCACACCTTATTTTTTGAAATGGAATCCATCTTTAAATACAATAACCCTTACCTTACCTTTACAGCCACAACAGCCCACTGCTCGACATGTGCCTCCCACGTATCGGGGGGTATTGCCATACTCACCACGCTTAATTATCCCTTAGTCGCTTTTACGACACAAAAGGGTAGAATTGGGGTGATGCTATTTTAAGCCGGCATCACACGATACAATACATCTTTATTTAAAGAGGTACCTATAAGAGCAGCTCATTTTTTGTAAGGCTAGGCTAGACATAGGTTGATGAATCTACCAATTTTATGGTACGGAACTTTTCATGTCTACGTCATGAACTTTGAAATTTATGTTTAAATAAAATTATTAGTAGGTATAATTAAAAAATCTGAGCTTAGTTAAGAAATAATAATTATCCTAATTTCGTAGTTGTACTTATAGAGCCATGTACCTTAAGATTGAAAGAATTACTTATTGAGCTATAAGCCTTGTAAATTAATTTTAAGGTTCTTGATACAATCTGTCTGACCCTGAATCTTGGAGGTCAGATCTATCATTCGTCTAGACCTTTATTTACAGCAATAGGATTCCATTTGTCAGGTTGTCTCTAGAGCCTATTACACAGACAGGAGGAGATTGGTCTATAAATTGGTATTAAGGCTAGTTGACCCAGGATTAATTAAAGCAAGACATAGGTAGATATACGTAGTATTGAAACACGTATCACTCGTGTATGGATGGACGAGAAACTTTGCCTTAACAGCCATAGCTTCCACTGCTGGTCATCAACCACCAACAAACGTTTTCCACCGCAGGCTGGATTTGAACCAACCACCTTCGCCAACTGTATCTACTGGCGACGCCTCTACCAACTGGGCTACAGCGGCTCACTCATCACAAGTGTATTTGACCACTAACGCGTGGTAGGGCTCCATCTACCGGGATAGTTTTACAACTAATTCCCAGTGACTAATACATTCTTTATAGATTAGATTTAGCCAAAGCGATGAAAACCCACGATTAATATATAAAATCTTTATTTACAGAAAACTTAAATAACTAGCACAATCATATTTACAAGAAAAGGATATATACAAATTAACAATTAAATCTAAAAAGAAACAATAAAACTAAAAACTAAAACCTAACCTAAGACCTAATCAAAAAGCCCGCCCCGCAGCGTACCCGGCTCAAAGGTGCCCATTATTCCAGCAGCGTTGCCGCGCTGGATGGCAAGCGATATATGCTGGATGAGGTACGCTCCGGAGCGAGGATCACATCCGCGATCTCGTAAGCGGCGGCCTAGTTCCCTAGTAAACTTTTTGGCTTCCTTGGCCCAAGGGCCACCGGTTTCAACCGCAAAAGGCACGAAAATATAGTTCCGTGTAAGCTCCGAGTATTTTACGTGCTTCTGAGCAGCCGCGTATTCCGCTGCGGAGCCTGCTTCCCTCGTCGTTCTCGGTAGGTGGGATGCTGCATAAGTACTGACGCAGGTGGCGTCCCACAGCAAAGATCGTCCTTTTTCCCACGGGACAAGGGAGAGGCCATCTGGGCGCTTTCCGTCCAAGCGACAAAGACCTGGAGGCTCCAGCGTGCAAGGTATATTTGCTGACACCAAAGCACGGCGAATTATATCATTTAGCGCGTGGTGTCTGGGAAACCTTCCAGCACACTTTGCACAACTGAGGCCATGATGGCCAGAAGCATCAACAGCTGCTCCACAGGGGCAGATATGGGGCTCACAAATACGACAACCTAACCGTAAGGCCACTGCTACCCGTAACGAATCGTTATCCAGGTGCGTGCCGAGTTGGGGGGAGGGGAGTGCCTGGAGCCATGCACCCGACTCAGGGCAAGTTGCTGCTTTAATGCGGGCTAAGTCCGTACCCGAATGAGATTCGATCAGCTCCGACAGAATGAACTTTGACCGCAGATCATCCCAAGCTCTCTGTAATTCAGGCTTTGCCGGTGGCTCGACACCAGGACACGTCGCTGCCCAAGCCAGTAGAGCGTCGCTCTCAAAGGGGATGCTGAAATCGTCACCTTGTAGGTTGAGTATCTTAGTGACGAGGTCAGCAACCCCGTTCGAAGAAGCGAGGAAAGCTGGCAGACCGACGGCCTGTACACTCCTGATGCCTAAACCTCCGTGCCTGATAGGTAGTACTGCTTGGCGCCACTGGTTTTCGTCAAGCGTGACGTTGATGATGCTCTCCAGTGTTACTCGGATAGCGTCATCAACTACAGAGACTTTATCTGGGTAAAGCCATGTCGGAGTTGTTCGAATCACATAGGTTAACTTCGGAAGGGAAAAGCAAGAGCGAAACAGAACGAGGGCAACATGGGCTGACAGTTGTGATAAATGGACTTGAACCTGTTCTATCATTCTGCTCTTGGTCTCCAGAGCCGCTGGAATCGCGTTAGGGAAAATGGGTGCTCCAAGAAGCGCAAGTGTGTTTTCATTTAATGTCCTAACGCCTGGCATCAAGGAGTTAAATATTGCGATGTTGTTGTTTGCCTCCTCGCCGCATGAAAAAATTTCACACTTAGAGGGGTTGACTTGGAGCCCCAAAAGAGACAGTTCAGTAATAAGCGTCTTCACGTCCTGTGCCACCGATTCTGTAGTTCCACCGATTGTGCCATCATCAAGGTACCATACATTCAGGCTTGATTTCAAAGATTTGACCACCTTGTGTATTGCCAGACTAAATATAAGCGGGCCAAGTGGATCCCCTTGTTGGGCACCAACTTGAGATGGAATCTGAGTACCATTGAAAGATAAGTGACTCTTCTCTGCATAACATTGGTGAAGAAAGGGATACAAAGAAGGAATCAAATCCTTGACTTCAGCCAAAATTGTATCCCTTTCGACACTGTTAAAGGCGTTCTTAAGGTCCACCTTGACGATGACGCAATCTGTATTTTCGGGGTTCATGGCAAAAGCGCGAGCAGCGTGAATCGCCGCCTCGCAACCTAAGGTTGTGCCGAAACCTACTTGGTGCGGCTGCAAATGAGCAGCCATATCGTTCCTCACTGCACGGCATCCCAACTTTGCGACAAGCCGGCGGAAAGTGCTACCGACTGCGATTGGCCTAATCCCACCATCTTTCTTAGTAAGAGCACAAAGTGACGCACCGTACAAGAAAGGGCAAACTTCAGGATTGAGTGCTCCACGCAGGAGAAAGTTGCATAGTTCGGTTAGTGATTCTAGCAACTTCGTACCGTTATTTCCCGCGGAATGTGAAATCAGGTCTTTTAGATGTTGGGGACGAAGTCCGTCTGGCCCCGATGCCGATGAGCTGTGAAATGTGTTCAGCGCACGGACAACGTCTTTGAATACCAAATTTTTAAAACACTTCCTGTGTTAGGTATACAATTTAGGAAAACTTGCGACCGCAGGCTGGATTTGAACCAGCGACCTTCACCATATTCTGTTCTGGCGACGCCTCTACCAACGGGGCTACAGCGGCTCACTCCAAACACGCGAATTAAGCAAGTGTATTTATCTACCGGCATAGTTTAAAAACTAATTCCCAGTAACTAATCCATTCTTTACAGAGTGGATGTAGCCAAAGCGATGAAAACCCGTGATAATTGAATACCAAATTTTCAAAACACTTCCGGTGTTAGGTATACAATTTAGGAAAATTTGCCACCGCAGGCTGGACTTGAACCAACGACCTTCGCCATCCGTACTGGCGACGCATCTACCACCTGGGCTACAGCGGCTCACTCCAAGCCTACAAATTAAGCAAGTGTATTATTTAATAAATATATACCTACACGTTGACCCTATAAGACATGACAATTTGTACAAAAGCGCCTTAAACAAATGTAGAGTCAATATACATATACCACGCCTTTATTCCTTGCGGGCTAGGCAGAGCGTTAACGGCTGTAAAAACGGTCGTTTTACATCGCGTCTGACAAAAGTTTGAGAATGAAAAGCTGTGTATCATTCAGAAGTCTGTTGCCTAAAGTTGCAGTACATCTATCAAATTCCATAGTCGCTTCTATTGTAAGCCTGCACCACAAGTCTTTAACTCTTGTAATCAAAATTATTATAGATCTTTTGTAAATTGTACTTACCAAGGAATATTAACTTAGGAATATCCTCCGTAATTTTATAAAAACCTTTATTTATAATATCTTTCAACACTAAACGGTGTCCCACACGAAGAGAGAAAGCAATTAACTAATCTTAAACTTAAAAATATAAGTACAATCTGCAGCACCTTAACCTATGCATTAAAGGGATCAACGTGTACTGAATATGTAAGTATACCCCGGTTAGTAAGGGGTCAGACCTTTCGGATTGTGATTAAAGCGTGAAACTTGGCATAGATGTTCTATGGGTACATCTTAGTAGGTAAAGCCCGGTTTCCAGGAGTTCCGCCCCCCGGAGCTGGTGGGAGGGGGGAGGAATGTTTCGGTCGCCGCGCACCAAACAAAAAATTCTCACTGATAGAGTTGAGGTCTTAAGGCAAGTTTGGTATCGTTTTCGAGTAAAAATAACATATACAATCTATTTAACGTAGTAAAAAATAATGTTATCATTAAAAAATACAAAGAAATACGCAAAAAAAGGAAAATATACCACACTATTTTCGTCTTCAACACGCTATCACTAAAAATATGCTAATATTTAGGAAAAAATAAAAATAGTACTAAAAAGCTTAGATATTCAGCTTTCTAAAAATATATACTTTTTGTATGGTTTTAAAAAATATTACACAGTAAAAAAATAATAATAGATAGAGCGGTGTCGAGTTCAATACTCTCTGCGTACGTACATCTTCTTTGTTTATAAATAGAACTGCAAAATTTAACACAAGAGATAATATACCATTCATATTCTAAAGAAATTAAAATAAAGCTGATCTTGCTGTCCACATTTGAGAAAAATTAACCGCAAATTTAAGTTTGTTTTTCATATGTTTCGTATGAAAAACTAAGTTAACTTTTCAGCTTAAACTAATAACGGAATACGAATTGAACGCAATAAGCAAAAACCGCACAAATACGGTACAGAGTACCTTCCGAGGAAATTTTGGTGTTATTTAACGTGGATATAGTTGTCCCATTACCATTAGCGCGTCGCCTCCCTCACCTCCATCAACAGCTCGAGGTAGATCAGTGTGCGGTAGATCATCCATTTGCCATCTTCAAGTGATCGGTCCATCTGACCGCGAAAGTTGCGCTTGTTTTTCACGTGTTATGTGCTGGTTGTGAAAAATCTGCGCCATGTAGCTGGAGAGACTATTTACTAGCAAATAAAACGTCCCTAAAAACGTGGATCCAAGGTGTTTTGGCATGGTTTTGAAAAACAGAAGACAAAACGCCCCAAAAATTGCCGTGTCTATGCTGTCCCCGAAAGACCATTACGAATCGTCTGGCTTTACGTTTCTAACCTTCCAGCCAAAACGAAACAGGTCGGGTTATGTAATGAGTTCAAAACCGTGGCCTGGGTGGACCACGACATATCCATCTATACTGCAATTACTGCACCATCGATGCAGAAGTTAGAGAAGTAGATGTATTCTCCTCTGTTTGGCTTTAATAATCTACGAGTAAGCCTTCGACTCTATTGAAGCCCGGGTCGTTTAAGAACCCTTGGAGCGCTGCCAGGGCGCCTGGTGATAAGTGGAGGTGCTGAGAAATTCAGTACCGAATGTCAACTATGTCCGTTCAAGTCGAAATACTCTGAGGTGTAAGACATTATACCTCCGCAACTCTTTACTAAAGCGCTGGAAAAAGACCTCCTCCTTCAAGATTCTACAGTAATTGTCTTAGCATCAATGTCATCGGTGAATATTTAACACACCACCGCTTTGAAAACGACATAATGTAAAAATAACATAATTCTAGATTTCTGCAAGACCTCTCAATA